GGGTTCGCCCATCAGAGCGATACGGCTCCAGAAGTGAGACGTTGAAAACGGGGTGAATACGCCAGCCCGGATTCATCTCTAATTTATAAGCCAGAGAACCCACTTTTTGCACGACAGTAAAGGGACCCACCCAGCGGGGTGTCAGCTTGCGGCTTCGCTCCGCGTGCTTCAAAATCAGATTCTTGGTACTCAGAAGTACCCGGTCCCCGACAGCGTACGTCATTTCGACGCGCTTTTTATCCGCAAATGCTTTTTGTCTATGTCGAGCTGCAATCAGAGTTTTGCGTGTGCGGTCATGCAGAGATTGCAAGCGTTCGACAAAAGCAGAGGCGTCAGAAGGGCGTTTATCCTCAGTCGACACACCCAAGGCAGTGCGAGGGTGACGACCAAGGACCAGATGAAACGGTGTATCATGGATGCCTTCGTCGTAGGAATTATTATAGGCGAATTGAGCTCTAGACAGCCATTCGTCCCAGTCAGTCATTGTCGGCGCAACGAAATGACGCAGATAAGCCTCCAATGTTTGATTGGCAATTTCCGTTTGACCGTCAGTTTGTGCGTGAAAGGCAGACGACATACGCAGTCTCGTGCCAAGAAGCGTGGTAACCTCCTACTAGAACGCACTCGTAAAGCGGGTATCACGATCAGAAACAAAGGTCTTACTCAGTCCTTGAGTAGCCTGGACGTGATCCACGTACAGCTTGGCGAAACCCTTAGCCGTAATAGTTTCTGTACAGGGCACGAAGATCGCCAACAAAACCTGTCAACAAAAACACAGATGGTGTCATTACCCCGAGGAGTTAACGGCAGCTTAGTGATAAAATCATAAATGATTGAATCAAAAGACTCTAGCGGTTGCATCAGCCCATAAGGTCGGTGACAACGATGCTTATTGCGCTGACACGTGGTACAACTCACAACAAACGAGGCAACATCCGCCGACAAAGATGGCCACCAGAACAGTTTACCCACTGCCCGCAAGGTTTTGCCTGTCCCATAGTGCCCGGAGTAAGGGGTGTCGTGACAATCCTGCAGAATCAGAGACCGAAGGTCGGGGTTATCCGGAACCACTATACATGACCCTCTCATAACAAAAGCCTGAGGGTTCACACTCAGTAGACGATTCTCTGCACTGTTTACATCTGCAGTACAGAATCTCGCAGCGACTGGCTTTCCCAAAGGATTGCATCCCTAAGAGTTCGGGAATGTCAAACGTCAGATCAGAATTGTCCAAGGTGTTGCTCGTCGCAGGGGCGGTCCGGCCAGACTGTTCCCCGCTAGGCGCAGTTCCCCTCCTTGTCACAGCTACCGTGAGCACAGCAGGAGTCCCTGAAAAGGGATCACAGAGCGTACCTGCCTTTCTTCCGAGATTTGTCCCGGGTTCAGTGGAAGACAAAACGACCAGAGCGTCGAGTGGATACCTGCTGAGAGGATCCGCGACGTTGTTCTTCCCGGCCCTGAATACCCAGTTAATCGGGCGTTGAAGGAACTCAGACCACCTTGCTTGACGTCTCGACTTGAGGGTCCGCTCAGTTTGAAAGAATGTATTGGAGACCTGGTCAGTGACTACCGTGAACGTAGCACCCGCCAAATAACATCGCCACGTCTTCAGAGCGTGAACCACAACAAGCATTTCGCTTTCAGTTGTGTGGTAATTCTTCTCTGCGTCGTTTAGTTTTCTGGATTCGAATGCAACAGGTTGACCTTCCTGTAGCAGCACTGCACCCAGACCAACAGCAGACGCGTCAGTGACCACCTCATATGGGAGTTTCTCATTGGGCGTGCGGAGGAGTGGCGCTTTGGTCAGACAGTGTTTAAGTGCAAGAAAAGACTGTCGACAGCGGTCAGTTCAAGCCCACGGGGTTTTAGCCCGAGTCACATTGGTCAGTGGTTCAGCCAGCGAAGCGAAGTCTTTAATAAACTTCCGGAAGTAGTTAACTAAACCCAGAAATGAGCGTACGTCATGAACGTTTAGCAATTTCGGCCAGTCAACAACAGCATCGACTTTCTTAGGATCAGGACGGATTCCCTTGGAATTCACGATATGTCATAAGAACTTAGTCTCTTCAGACGCAAAGTTTGACTTTGACTGGCAGACGTAAAAGCGGTTTTGACTCTGAATATCTAAGAGCGGTCGAACATGAAGTTTATGTTCTTCAGCGGTCTTAGAGTAAATCAGAATGTCATCTAGATAGACAACGACAAAACGCCTCAGAAAAGGATGTAGAACCGAGTTCATAACAGACTGAAAAGTAGCTGGCGCGTTAGTCAAACCC